ACCCCCACACACCCCACATTCCATCAACACCTCACACCTACGCCCACAACCACACCCGCAAGTATTGATTATTCTACGGTTTTTTTGTTACAGTGTAGCTGGGACTGCCGGTGACTGCCGCGGATTACAAGGAACTGTCAGAGATCAATATTTAATACAAGGGATTGTCAGGAATCAATATTGAATTCAAGGGACGCAGAACTAGCAGAGATTACCACGGACCACCAAGGATGAACAAGTACTTTAAGGGAGAACGAACGGAAAAGCACTACAAGGCTGAAGAGACTACCAGGAACTCTAGAGATTCAAGAGTCTACTAGAGTCTAACCAATTTTGACAAGGTTGAGGGTGTACTCACACGCATATACACATGCACAGGCATAGGTATACCCATCCACTCCCATATTTACATATTGAATATAACCAATGACGGTAGAAATTTATTCATTTTTTTCTGCATTCTGAAATTTACTTTTCAGCGAATTTCATCGCCTATTGTTGCTCTCTGTCTGATGCAGGCAGAATTTGTTGATCATATTGAAAGTAATTACTTATACTTGCACAAGCAGAGCATAAGATGGTAGCCCTTCAATTTTGTTTTTCTTCTGAATGTAATACATTATCGAGAGCTTTTTTTGTGTGTTATTCATGCTTACGTCCCTTTCGCAGCGAGTTTTAATTCATACTTTGCTCTCTTTCTCAGGTAAACAGAGTGTGTGCATGTGAGTGTGTGTGTGTGAGGGTATGGATAATAAATACACCTACACTCTCATCTACACTCACACCTTAGTGTAAAGATTAGCGTTGCCGTTGGTGCATGATTTTCAGACATTCTAATTATTTAAAATCATCAAAGACTGCAAAATAACGTTCTTTCTTGTAGCATTTATCGTTACATACAATGTCGATATAGTCAAAAAATGCGAAACAGCCCTAGCAAAAACACAATATTTGTCAATATGCGAATGTATCTTGGTAGATTATTTAATATCAGTGGAAGTTTTCATATGTTATGCGGCTCCAAAATGAACTGCTGGGTAGTCACGATAAGGTTAATTTTGAATGAAGCCTACTTTGATATCAATCCCATCAGATGATCTCGTGTCATAAACAGGCAAATTTTGACCTCTGATTTTTCTAAAACTGTGAAGTAAAGCTATGTTTCAAAAGTTCAGGAAGATCATATTAATTATCGTATTTAGCATGTTAGTGCCAAAAGTACAACGTTCTAAAATTAATCGTGTTACTGATAAATTTCAGGTCGTTATCTCAATCTTTTTTTTTACTTCGAGGACTAGTACTCGACATTAAATACGACATGATGATCGACTCAAATTCATGAACTGTTCCCTAGCATAGCAAAACTGACGATGCGAACAATCATTATCATGTACACCTTGTCGACAAAGTGATGCACTGCAGCTTATATCAAATACTTGCTGTGGTCTATAATTTTTCTCATAGAATCATCCTAACGATCTTTTGATAAAGTTCCGTATCTTCTCTGGAGTCTTTAAATTCACCGTTTTTGTAGCTTTTATCAATTAAATGTACAAGTAATCGAATAGTTAGGAAGTCTATTGTATTCATCACAACTGGGTAGAAAATCAATGCAAAAATCTACTCAAACGAAAAGTTAATGGTTGTGTTTTGAAAAATAATCACTTCCACTCTACCGCACAGCTAGATCCAATTTCTTGTACTATAGTTAAAATAATTTGGTTTTATCTATAAAATTGAGCTTAGTTGATCGAATTCAATAATAACTCCGACATGTTTCGGTAGAATGGTGAGCTTATGCACATATCCACCTGCGTTAATTTCAGGACCACCATCACCAAATGTCACATGTTGCATAAGTCTTGCTGTAATCACTTTCAATTCAAATCGAGCCAAATCTTGTCCAGCACACTGTCGATGACCACCACCAAATGGAATCAATGCATATGGATGATGATCTTTATCTTCGCCAAGAAATCTCTCTGGATAAAAGAGATTTGGATCGATTGACCAATATCGATTGTCACGTGCAAGATTAACGATCGGAATGCCGACTATATCACCTTTATACAATTGTGCACCAGTAATGGGCAGACGATCATCGGCAGTTAATGTACGATTCGTACCATCAGCGGGTGGACAAAAACGAAGTACTTCTTTGATAACACAATCCAAATAAACTAATGAATCGAGACGATCCAGTGACAAGTCTTGTTTCTCATTATCACCGATTAGTTCTGCTTTAATTTTCTGCTGCACTCGTGGATGTTTACTCATCAGATGAATAAGCCAAGCGAGAGCTGTAGACGATGTTTCAAATCCAGCAACCAAAAACAGAAGCATTTCATCGATTAGTTCACGTCGTGAAAGACCTATGATTAGATAAAGTCAACAACAGCAGCTTTGGGGCCAAAAAGAAGGAAGCGACTGGCTAATTCTAATCGCATAGTATTCGAAGTTACGTAACTATATAGTAATTCCTATTACTGAAGAGATCTCAAATCATATCTCTCTTTTAAACTTCATATAACACAAAGCATCTGCTGAATAATTTCGATAGGTAATCTTACCTTTCTTCTCTTCTTCACTTTTATTTGCTTCGATTTGTTCATCTGGTTGAAGAGAAGTAACAAGTGAAGCAATCAGAGATGTTCTTTTTCTTTCGGCAATTGCATCTGAGGTTTCGTTTTGTTCTTGTTCTATCATTTGACAAAGATGATGTTCAATGATTTTTCTTGCTTGTTGATATTGGCGACTCCATTTTAGGTAGATACGGGCTAAAATATCTGGTAAATACAAAACTATTCGAATTTTGTTTATCAAATGTCGAAGTGCTTGAGTAAGTTCATTCTTGTTTTTTCCATCATCATCGTTATTCAATGTTTCCAAATCATAATCGAAAGCAATCAATCCAAAAATAGCTAGTAGAAGATTTTGACTTTGCTGAACAATGTCAATGTGCACTTTCCGAGTTGGACTACCACGCCATTTATCCAAGAGTCTATCTGTACAGTCAACAATTAAATCGAAATTGGAGATAATTTTTCCGCGTCGAAACAATGACAGAGTAAGTGAAGCGTGTCGTTTGTATTTATGCCCTGAAGATAATGATGGAAGAGAAGTCAACGCTAAAACTCATTACAATGAAACTAACCTTTAATACAAATGGGTCCTTCAGAAAATAAAATACCGAATTTTCGAACAAAAATATCGCCTTGATCATAGATGTTTCGATGAGTGAAAATGTGCTGTACGTCATATTCTGTTTTCTAGCTTATTATACGATAAAATAATTGTGGTGAGAAAATTCACTTTCGAGCAGTGCTGTCTATAAAGGAGGGATGTCTGTAAGAAGGGGTATCTGTGAGGGAAAAGCCCTTCGAGCGTGCATTCAAACTTACACTCACGACTTCTGCATAGTGAGTTCCACAAAAATAGCGAATATGTGTTGGATTTGATGGCAGATGTTCCTGTGCGACGGATGTTTTACATAACCAAACTACCACTGATTCATTTCGTTATGTTAAAAAATACATAACAGTACCAAGTCGATAATGCTTTACAATCCTAGCATAGTTATTATCACTTTTGAAAACTCGAAGATTTGGCCCTCGTATCTTCCCTACGACTTTTTCGATTTAATTCGAATAACTTCCTCAAAGTAGTTTTGGAAAGTTTTTCTATTTCCACTCAGGTTGATCAAAACGGTGTCATTTACGATCTGAAAACAGATCGTCAATGCTGTAAAAACTGGGTATTTTTACGGTAGTATACGGTATCAATCCGTTACGCTTTCGGTCCGTATTTAACCGTATTATCGGACGCAGAAATACGGACCGTGTTCGTAATGATTTTGCAACCTGAACCACCGTATGTCGATGCATACGACGTGGTCTATTGTCGTACTCCCATATGCTTAGTTCACTGAAGAAGGAGAAATTTCACACTTCGCTCCACTCTCTTACACAAATAACCCTCGAAATATTCTCTTTTCTAAAAAGTTTTCGGAAGAGTCACGTTTTGTGGTTTTTTTGACTACAGCTGTTTTGGCAAACAGTTCGAAAAAAGATCGTACACGGTCTTGTTTACGCATCATTAAACGCTCTTCCGTAACGGCTTCATAAACGTTCCATAATTTATGCGTACGTACATTATAAATCGGTCTCCGTAAACAAAATTCTATGGAATATCGTGAAGACACCAGTTTTTATCCGTATACGGTAGTAAACAGAGCATTTCATCTGACCTGGGCGCTCTCGAGTTTCAAATTATGTTAGGGGTTCACCTTGAAAATTTCTCCCCGCTGATCTACCGCGAGAAAAGCTAATCATTTTGTAGTGAAAGAGGGTAATCATTTACTCCTAGATATCTTCAAACGACATACATCAAATCAAAGTAACGATGGCAGATATTCCTACGAATGCTAGAAGTCTTCCAAAGGACTTGTGTTGTTTCTCTGTGGATTTTTTCTTCACGTCCGCCAATTCTTTCATAAGAGTTTTCTTCTCAATCCTGTTTCTCGTTATTTACTCTTTTTAGTTCCTGCTGTTTTGCATTTATAATATCAATAGCTATCCATATGAGCACAAATAGGCATAAATTTTAATATAACTCACTATGCAAGATCTCTACATCTCCATGACATCAACACCTGTTGAGCGGATCTTCTGACGGAGTAGTTACAGGATGTGACTGCATCGTAGCGGCTCAACAAACAGCAACTGAGCGTGTTAACACTGTTGAAATGTTATGCAGACTTGGTTGATTAGGAATAATAAATTATTGTTGTTGTTTTGTACGCACGGCTGTTACAGCATTAGAAAACCAGAAACAAGTAGCATCGGAGCAGAAGTGGAGGAAAAGCGTATAAATCAGGAGTGGCACATCTCTGAGTGAAGTGATGCTGATATCAGACATAACCAATAAAAACCCTTATGCTCAATTAATAGATTGTTCCAATCAATTGCAACAGATTCATCTATCATCAAATGATGAATTGAACGAAATGATTCTTCATCGTGTTATTGAAAAGAAAAGATTCGAAATCGTTTATCAATCATTGTTGAATTTTTCTGATTCGACTGTTTTTGTTTGAAACGACTATCTTCAATTATTGAAAATCTTCTCTTCGAAGAAGACGATTGTACTTTATAATTTCTTATTGAATTAATTCGAAAAAAATCCGTTTTGAAAGTTATGCAATTTCCATTTTGGTTAACCAGTCCATTTCTTCAACGTCTTTTAGAAAAATTTGTCCATCATGCGGATGAATATATTGAAAGCAATCTGATTGATGTTTTCTCTATTTTAGTCAAATATGATTATCTTTCTCCATTCGATTCTTATGTTAGTAGAAACTTCACTCAATTAACACAATATTCTCTCGATGATATTGTTTGTTGTGCTTTAATTCGATCATGGTTTATTATTCTTAGGAAAAGCAATGAACACCAAATTGATCATTATCATTTTGCTTGTGGATCGACTATCACATCTAAAAAATTATTAACGACGGTTATCACTCAAATACCTTTATCGATTGGTTTGAAAGATCAATTGTTAGATAATGTGATCGATTTTTTGTTTCATGATGATTATTCGGATGAAATTAAAATGAAAGCTCGTCAACTGATCTGTCATTTGTCAGTTGATCAATCGATTAATAAAACATCGATTGAAATCTTAGACGAAGAATTTCGATCAATTCTTCATTGGCTAGAACATCCAGACGAATATTTGATTCTCGATTGTGATTAATTGTTTCAAGAGAGAATTTTCGATTATTTAGGTTTAAAAGATATGTAGTCGACTACCGATTAGAAAAAGAAGAAAAATAAAAATTTGTTCGTTATAAATCCATCACTGATAAATATATGAAAACTTCCAATTAGTCAGTTTGTGCACGACGACAGATTGGACATTGAATTGACGTCTAAAAAAAAAGAAAGTCAAGCTCAATTACAAAGAAGAATTTCTTCACCGAATACCTTTAACCATGGATCAATACATTTAGAATGAAAAAAATGTTCACATCGTAAACGTTTCAAAGTTTCACCGGTTTTATATTTACTTAAACAAATGATACATTTATCATCAGTGGATTTCGATTTCCTTGTTTTTCGATAAATCGTCGTTGGTATACGTTCAATATCACTGTCGGATAGACCAACGGAAGGGGTTTCATCGTGAGCAAGTAAATCGAGTAAATCCTAGAAAGAAGCAGATTGATTAGATAGATTCTAATGAAGAACTTACACCAAATTGAATATGAAGAATAGCAGGAACATCAGGTCTTTGCATCATCCATGAAAAAGCAATCATATCAATCGGAGTTGAAGATGAGGGATCATCATCATCATCATCGTCATCATCATCATCATCATCACCGAATGATGGAATACCTCTGCCAAAAAAACTTCTAAAAAAGAAAGCATTGTCATTCGAAAGAAACGTTCATTGAGATACGAACTGAAGGAAATGAGTTAGAAGAGAAATCGGATGATTAAGTCGCATTGGCATAGATGATCGTGAAAATAATGGCATTGGAGGATGAGAAGATCGATGAATTGGAACAGTATGCGAGGAATATGAAGGATGATCAACAGATCGAACGGGATTCGAACGTTGACGTACTGATTGAAGATTTACCGATCGATGATTTCTAGAAAATATCAAAAATAACAGAAACGATGAAAAAAATAAATTTTATTTACGAATGTAGTGGATACGATTGGAAGGGATAAGTTTCTTCTCGATGATGTCTTCGATTATTTTGACCAGAATTTCTTTCATATCTTGGATAATCTTGATCATAACGATTTGATTGAGAAGCCAAGAAATGGTTTGTCAATGGTTGTTGACTATTAAAATAATGACGATTCGATGAACTAAAAAGATCCCGATGATCATCATGATAGGATTGAGGATGTTGTACATGCGAATGAGTAGAACGAGCTTCTAATCGATTTCGTCGATGCGGTTGATCATTCGATGAATTCTAATATTTAAAACATCGAAGATTTGTTTCATGAATAAAAATCGCTGATATCGAAAATAATAATAATCGATAGGATTTTTACATTGAATCAAAATTAAAATAATAATAAATAAATTGGAGATTCATAAGAATTATTCATTAAGCAGAGCTTTCTGACCATATCCGATTCATCATCATTCATATTCACACTCTTATTATTATTTCTGATATCAATCGATGAAATATAGTACGATAGATACTAATTTATTGATAATTAGCTCTGATGATGAATTTGGATATGGTTCGAAAGCTCTGTTCAACTAACAATTGTTATAAATCTGCAATTTATTTATTATTATTTTAAAAATCTTTGACTTACATGTATTCGATTAGATGATAATATTGTTGAATTTGGATATCCATCGAAATGAGAATATTCTCCATGATAATGATGATGAGAAGATGGATGAGGATTTCTTTGTCGATTGGGTTGAAAGGTAGATTGAAAAGCAAAATCTCTTGATGTTGGAGGTGCGTTTCGTCGAGATGAACTATCCGATGGGTGATGGGATTGAATGGCTGCACGACGACGAGATGGCCCATACGAATCGTCAATATATTGATGCGACATAAAGAAAACACGTGAGCAATATAAACTCTATCACCAATAGATATGCTTGACTTGTTTTAAATGTGCAAGCACAATTATATAAGGTGAATGGAAATTGCACGATAAATGCAACTATTTTCTACCAATGATTCATAGCAAGTCCAATGAAAGATAGAGCCAATTAGATCTGTATGAAACATGTGCTATGGTAACTACGGACATCTATCTCTTTCTCATTTCACACCTTATTGGACAAAGAAATTAACAAGAATACGTTAATTTTTTTTTCTTTTTTTAGTGTTTATTTTCTAGGGAAATTAGTCATAATTTATGATGTGATGCCATGGAATTCTTCCGAATCTTGATTGCTGCTTCTTGAACATGTTTTATCCATATGACATGATTCAAATAAAGATTCGAATTTGTTATTGAGCACACATCTGTGTTACAGCAGATTCTACGAGCAGCACATATATCATTGGTTAGTGTTGAACAAGTAATACTTTTAGTTATACGAGAAATAAGATTGTGAACTTTAGTCGAACATTGTTGAATATCTACCAGATGTCCAAGTTGATAGGCTAAATCATTACAACAGATCGATGGACCAAAACATTGTCCATTTAATGCACACTTTGGACACTAAAGTTTAGAGAAATACGAAAATCATTCCGAATATGACATGATCATTTCGATTTATTTGACTTGATACCATTTATAAAAATATTTCTTCAATGATGAACTTCATTTTCCATCAATAGAACAATTTGCAATGTAAAAGACGTAGGTCATTTTTAAAAAGACAAGAACAAGAAGGATATTAATACTGAAATACATGATCTAAAAGAATATTCTTATCACAAAAATCATTTTATGAATAAGGCAATCTTTGTAGACATAGCCTGGTAGCTGACCGACCCATCTGGTTCGATTGGCTATCTTCTACCCACCAATCCGGAAGAATCCTTTTACACTGGTGGTTCGGAAATTTTTTTACTTTTATCATCTGTTTTATTCAAAATTAACGTGCAAAATAAAATTCTTTCACAGATCAAATAGAAACTTAAAGATGCAGTGTGAAAAGCTTTACAATCTAAAAAGTGAAACTCATTTTATTCGTGTACTTTTTGTTTTCAAAAAAAAAGCAAAATCTTGTGCGACCAATTTTCAATGTCATGAAGAAAAAGAATTATTTGTGTATCAAAAGAATTATCTTCTTCATGACATCGAAAATTGGTCGCACAAGATTTTGCTTTTTTTTGAAAACAAAAGTGCACAAATAAAATGAGTTTTACTTTGTAGATTGTAGACCTTTTCACGCTGCATCTTGTGATATCTTTTGTTTTTTAATACAATGTATTAAGTGATTGAAAATTGAAACGAAAAGTGTAGCCATTTAATCTGCCTTATTTGTTAGCCTGTCATTCAAGCATGTATCAAAAACACTCAGACAGTATATTCGCACGTTGTATCTTCATATTAAACTTTTATTTGTATTATAAACGTCTACACTTATACTATTCATATTGTCCAAGAAAATTTCTTTTGATTATAAATTCTATATTTTATATCAAAAATACGAGGTACAACCATTTTGTTGTAGATGGTATGCTGACATCTCCTGATAGATAATATTTATTCAGAATTTTCAATACTTTTTGGTGAAATTCAATCGCTCTATCAAATTCTTATTGCTGACGATATATCATGCTGATCTTAGTGAGACTAATGCATATGTCTATATCATCAAATGAATAATATGTCTCTTGTATTTCGAGTGTTCGTGGATAAAAAACTCTTAAACGAAGTTTTATATCAATCCATGTTTCAAAAATCATAAAATTTGTTACATGTATATAGCTGACAGACGGACGATCGCAGCAGGTAAGATAGAGTGATTTTTTTAAATTCTTCTGGGCTTTGTACAGAACGCAAGAATTGTTGGGATCTAGGAGGTTAAAATAAAAACTCATGAAGATGACTATAGTCAACAGAAGGACGATCATGTTCGACAGTGGGAGCTGTTTGGTTGAAGGATGAATAAAGATATATTGCTGCTATTACTGAAGATGGTTCAGATCTAATATGCATTCTATTACCATCATAGTTTTTGACTATTTCTAAGATATTCTTCAATTGTTGCATGATAACGTTAGCGACAACACCCTCCATAGAATGATTAACTAGAATAATTTGCGTTGGATTTTGAATTTCTTGCTCTCGTTTATTGTTAAAAGCTTTTTCATTGAATAGTTCGTCATTATTATCGTCTCCCTCCTCTTCTTTATCACAGATTCTTTCCTTCTGAAAGACACTTGATGAAACTTTTCTTTTTTCTGTTCTTTGTCTATCTTCATTCGGACAAAAGACATAGTACACGTTGTTTTTGTGAAGGAAACAGTTGTTCATGACTTGTTCTTCTCTTTCTCGTAATTACCATTATTACCGATGAATCGCTGTAGGTACCAACTCGGGGTTTGAGACAACTTCTATCTGCTAGTATTTTATCATAAAAGCAAAAAGGATTGATCACATGTTGATGCATTTGTCAGTTGATAGACGAATCAAATTCTGGAACGATTTTAATAGTTCTCTATTAGACAAAATTGCAATGGATTATTCGCTGAAATCAAGCAGAAAAGATGTTCTTGTCTCCTTCTTTCGATCAGCAAACTGAGGCAAGTTCTCTTTGACAAATGCTACTCTTAAGTTTTCTCCACTTCAAAATCGAGTTTTGGACACAGTGCGTTCAGGCCCATTAGATTTCCAAGGCTTGTTGAACCTATAGTGGTGAAATTATGGTAAAATGTTCAGCTCAATACCATGAGGATTTTGCGATACATTTGTCAAACTAGTGTCGAAAAATAGCTCTTTCGGCCGTTCAGATTTCCCTGCGGGCCTATATGAGAAACAAATACTTCGTTTTTTTTGTGTGGTAGAAGACACTTGGGTGCAGGGCCTCACAGAGTCATTTTTATTCAATTCTTGCTTTTTACATGAAAGAACTGGCTGACAAGTTTAGCGCCTTCGAAAAAAATGCTGCGAAAAAGGGAAATCTTTTCTAAAAAAAGTTTTCTTGTGTAATGAAATAAAGCTTAACTAAAAACTCGGACTCTGTCAGGCTCAGCCGAAAAGCATGCTTTTTCCAACAAAGCAAGAAGTAATCATTCAGCATGAAGTATCTCCAAAACTCTGGGTTGCGCGATCAAAAGAAGCACAAACAGAGAAAAACCGAAAAACATTTTTCTAACAGAAATCTTAGAACATTTAAGTGTTTTGGCCACTTTCTAGGTAGATATGAAGTGAGTTATCACCATTCTGTTTGGCTAACTCTACTTTTCCAAAAGCTTCGTAAAACTCATCTAACATGTCTCTAGGTTTCATTAAAATAGTTATTTTCCAAGCGAACATCTCGAAGCCTGTTTTCATTAAAAAAAATAGCATATTTTAAGGACAATATGAGAAAGATAATAAAAATTCTTGACAAAAAAAGGAATTGTCAAATAACAAATCATATTGAGGGTGAAAGACCGGACATTAAGCTTTTATATCATGGATTTAACTTAGATTCCACTTTTCTGAACAAAATTGACTCTTTCCGCGTGGGAAGGGGACTTAAACGATGTAATACTGTATTGGTATGTTATTTTGTTGACAGGGAGAGTACTGTGGGAGCTGGACGACACATGCATCAGTCAACTATGTTTTTTCATTTAAGTTTAACCTGTTGATATCATGTTTCAAAAGAGATAAATAGATAAGAACCATATACAAACGCAATCTAACGCGTCTTGCTAGTTATTTATCAACATGCACGTCTGGTTCTTGTTAGTAGTATCTGCGGTAACTCTACAAGCTCAAGATTTGAAAACATTTGGTATTGGTCTTTCTTCTCAATGGCTATATCCAAATGAGGTAAATATTCATAGTGAAGAGTTTCTTTTGATTGAAATTGAAGATACGACATCTTTGTAGACCGAAATTTTTAATCATACACTTACTTCTGGTTCATTATGGGGTGTTCTCACGCATTTTTGGGCGACAGGTGATCCGGGTAAATTTTCTCTTCGCTTGTTCTTTCTGATTGTCATAGAAACAGCTGTCTATCTTGTCTTCTAGCGATCGATCTCTCGACTTTTTCGTACTATGTCGATGGCGAAAGTGTTCCATCCATTCAATTCGTAAGTTATATGGTAGCTGGCGTTGGTTTTAACGATCAAACTGCACCTTGGGGTACGAAATGGATGGGTAAAGGAGCGAAAGGTGGTGCTTGGTACAATAATTTGTAAGTAGATATTCCATCTAAACATTGGTTTTAGATTTTCTCGTTATACGCTAGTCGAGTTCCATTTCAAAAATCTATTCGAGTAACTGGTCACTTACCAGTCGGTATGACCGATAGAAAAGCGATCTGGACCATTGTACGTGGCACAGAAAATCTACTCACTGCTTTTCATGGCTTCCAACTTCCGATCAATGCGCGTTTAACTTTACATAAAATTGAAAATAAAACGTATGATCCATTCGCATGGGTTCGTGTGGTAGACATTCCAACTGGTCGAGGTCTTCTTCTTTCGCATAGTCTAGCAGTTGTTAGTGGAAATCTGGAATTTCTCGAAGGGTGTTATCATGCTTATCCAGACTACGGACAAGCGTTTCCCGGTGTAATCATTTCGACGGGTACGGAAGATTATTTCGATAGTGCTTTTTATTTCAATGCCGGACAATTTCATTTTGAAGTTTCGGGTTATACACATTTTCGACAAGTATCTAATAGTACATTGGAATGGTCTGCTTATCGTATGCATGATCTCGATCCAATCTTTTTTAACAATGGTTTTCGTTTTGAATGGAGAAATGGTGATGTTCTCGATGATCATGGTTTTAAATGTCTTGTCTATCAAGGTGGAAATGCAATCGGATCACCGACGCAATCGATTGTGACTTCATATGCCTGGATTTATACTTGGTAGAAGAAGAATTGACTAGATTTTTCCTTTTCACCTAAGTTTATTCGCTTGAAAGAGAAATAGAATGAAAGCAATTTGAATTAATTGAACGGCATAAAAGAACATCTTGTTCTGGGTGGGTTTATTTATAGGAAATTTCGAACCTAAGCTCATCGTGTACAATATATGTGGAAGCCGAAAACACGGTTCGGATTAACGAACTTTGATTCGAACTTTCGAATTTAAGAACCTTCATGCGATATCTCCAGTGGACGAGCATTTGCACTTTTCTTAAGTCAGAACTTCTAAGAATCGCCATCAAATATCTATCCCTTGCTGACGGTCTCGGGACACCCCCAGTCAGACAGTTGCCCTCTGGCCACAATCTCGTGGAATCGACAGTTAAGAACTTTGCCCTCAAATCAGACTCTCATGACTACCTAAGTTATTGATGTCAGCTTTTCATGGGACTCTCGTCTACTGATTTCTCTACTATTCTGTTCGAAGCATTTCATCAATAGAAGGCAGCTGAACTTATAATCAATGCGAACAATTCAATCAGTTTGGCGAAATAATCAAGATATTTGAATTAATGCATAGATCCACTCATGGTAGTTTACATTTGAAAGAAAGTGATCAAAATGATAATTATTTTCATATATTCAGTCGTCATAATAATCAACAATCAATGGAGTACGAAACGATTTCTGATACGAGTACAACATCTGTAATTTCGATAGTCAACGAAAGCACAGAGATCATGCTTACATCAAGAATAAATTTACCAAGTATATCGTTACAAACAGATCGTACTCCAAAATATGACAATAATATTCCTATGTCATATTTTACTCAATCACAATCATCGATAGAGTAACGGTGGCCTTTCGAATTTTTAGCTTTTTCAAGCGATTGTAAAATTGTAACAATATGATTCGTTTTAACGAAGCTAGGTTCATATTTAACTGTGTGAGTGTGGGTGAGTTTTGGTCTTCTCTTCATTCACCCACATCAACTTTTAATGCAAAGTGTAGCTCCAAACACAAATCCACTTTCTTACTGTTTGGATTTGAGGGGACCTCGACCAAATGTGCTGTTTATGGTATATAAATTGAAAAATAAAGGCTTCTGTCGCGATGAAATATTCGAACGTTCTATTTACAGTTTTGCAACAGTTCGATCATAGGGATGGTGTAGTTAATTTGAAGTGTTAAAGCGAATATCTAACAAAATATTATTTTCATGAAATGGATTTGATCTATTTAATTATATGAGAAATGATTTATAATTTCCAAAGATCTTTTCATTTTTACGTTTGAAACTAAAGAAATATCTGGAAGAGTATGAAAACAAACTCATGAATGTAAATGAAAATACCGGATGGATTTTCTATTCTCGTGTTTATTTAAGCGAAAAGCTTTTCATATTGAATCATTAACTGTTAGCTTTTTATAATTGTCAAACAAATGTCGTCAGTTAATTGTTTTATTTCTTGAAGAAATCGGTCCTCGAAAAAAATTATTCCGATTTTGGCAATGTTTCATTCAGATGGTCTGTTCAACATTCTTACGAAAATAAATTTTATGAAGATTGTCGACCGGATTCGACTGATCAACTACTTTAAGATAAATTGCGAAACGAAGAAGAATTTCGTCTTGGTCTTTAATATATGAATATTTGCGAAGGAAATTTCTAGTATTCGTGTTAATGGAGACTAATGTTCAGATATCTGATCCATCCAATTAAGATGAATATTCGAGAATACTAATTGAAGATATACAAGAACTTAGTGATCATCACGTTTACTCTTTTCTTCGAGAAAAAAGAAAGATAAGATCTTCGGGAACTCATTGACAAACTGTTCGATATTTCGTTGGCTTGACATGGAATGACGTCCTCTCAATATATGAAAAATACTCGTTACTTACGATTGTTTAAAGAAAATTGTAAGAAACAACTTTCAAAAATTGACATGCATATTCGACTTTATTGTGTATAAACAAGCCGATGTTGATTCAACGTCACTCAGATCGTTCATAGATTTTCTCGATTTCACTTTAGCAGTTATAATATATTTTGTTTGAGTTATTTATCGAGAATTTTTTTTCTAATAGTTGACATGCTTCTTCGAAAGATAATAAACATTCTATTTTATATCTACTAATCGATTTAAGTATATGATTTGGTTCATCATGAGTATTAGTCAACAGACAAAAGATGGATCATTTCTTTTTCATGCGACTTAATTAATTAAGTATCAATTGGTAGAAGTTCTGCTATGTACCATTAAATTCATATAAGATTACGTTTTGAATGGTTATGTTACGCGAATACCATTGATTTTTGGCTTTTTCTCTACTCCAAAAAGAACTCGGCATGATCTTATTCTGGCTGATCAAGCGTTTATTAGGGATTTTCTCTTAAATGGATTGGTCCGCACTATGCTAAGTCCGTATTGAAATAAAGTAAAAATCGAAATTCTAATAAATTTGTCTAATATAATCGTTGGCACTAAATTTTATGTTAATTAAGTGTTAAATAGAAAAAATTAAACTTAAAATTATATATGAAACGATTGATTAAAATATAATAATAAGAAATGAAGTCATGATGCTTGATGATCTCTTTTCGTCAATATTAAGGTTTCAGTAACGTTTATTAACTTGATTTTAAATTGAGGTAAATAATTCATCCTAACGATAAACGATGAGTGACTTCAATGGATTCAGCTATTTCTACACACACAAAATATCTTACTCGCAATTCGACGCAATTTATGTTTTGTTGCTTCGTACAGAAGGTAATTTGTAAGAAATGACGAGTTATACAAATAAAAGCCAGAACAAAATCAACCGACTCTCATGTTTCTTTTTTTTACGAAAGAAGAAAAGAAAAAGACTTCCTAGTATCGATCGCAAAAAATACTAAAAAGGTTGTATCTTGGCAGTGAAATTCCTCGATGACTGACTCACTGGAATGGAAATAATTATTTGAGGATGTCGATACAATATAGTTACCATGATGTCGATAGGAATCATAAGATGGTTTGAAGAGTATGAGGTAATGAAAAAATTCCTCTATACTTTTTTTTTTTGAAAAATATCATTTATTTTATATTCACTCACACCATACTATCGTCGACGATTGGTATTCATCTTTGGTAGCAATTTCTGATAAAGCACACTTCAATCCTATATGTTTACTAGATGGAGGCAAGAAGTTTGTTTTACGTTCTCTTTTCTTGTTGGTTGAGGTCGGTTGTGCAATTTCTGTGGTGTAAATTTTTTTTAAACATGTTCTTTCATCACTACAACTGGCAACCATTAACAGCACATTAGTAAAGGGTAACAAACGTAAGTCATTGAGCTCTCATTTTGATTCTAAAGTTCATGGCTAGCGTACAATCGAAGAAAAGCACTGATTTATTCTGTCATACATGCGATCATCAATCATTTGGGGTTTTAACATGTAATAGATGCTCCAAAAGTTTCTGCTCAAAACATTCTGTCGAACACCGACGTGAGTTGAATGATTATTTCAATCAACTAATAGTTCAGGAGAAGCTTATTCGAAAAGTCGTAAAACAACAACAAGATGAACGCCTCCAACATCCCCTGTTGAAAGCAATCGATCGATGGGAAAAAGCGTCGATTGTTAAGATTCAAAAAGCTGCCTCCAATGCTAGAGCTCAAGTTTTACATTACAATACAAAGAAGACTACAGAAATCGAGATGCAACTTAATCGAATTAATACACAAATGAACATCAGTCGTCAAAAAGGTGACTACATCGAAATGGAATTGATCGAATGGAAAAGTAAACTTGAGACATTGAAAGAGAGTTTAACTATATTGCCACCGTCGATTAAAGTACGAGAAAATCGATCAATCCCTTTGGTGTTGATGATCGACGTGGATGCATACTTTCGCACGATAAAAGATGAAGTTACCGAGACATTTGATATTACTCGCGGTGATATACAGATTACCGAAAATGGTTTAGTGGCTACGCACGGCAACAGTAATACTCATGGAACTGTCAGAGGCACCTGTAAATATTTATCAGGCAAACATAAAATTTGGATAAAAATTGAAAAATTAACTAATAAATGGATGTTCTTTGGGATTATCTCGAGTAAAGAAGGAATGCAAGAAAAAGTTCATGATTCCACTTCGATCCATAGCTGGAATGGTCATTGTCAAATTGGTACTGCTGGAGAAATGATCAAAAGTACATCTTACGATGATTATGACTGAGAAGAGAACGATATTGTCGGCCTGATATTAGATTGTGATAGAAAAAAAATTCTATTGACGAATGATCGCACACAGATCACCCACGAGATATTTGTTGAAATGGACAGATGTCCATTCCCATGGAGACTCTTCCTCTCGCTCATATATGAAGAAGACTGCGTACGAATCCTATCTTACTAAAATACTCGATAACAAGTATTATAATAAAAGCGTTTTATTTGGCCTATTCCTCTATAGTTTCATAGCTAACTGGCAGTCTGATACATTGTATTTGATTTCTTTTGAGTAATATATAGATTTGACTTGAAACTAGTGAAAAATCTACCTTATATGAGTTCTTATAACGGACTTTCAAAGTGACATCCATCGTATCATCCTCTATAATATGTATTGTGGGTATAGGTGTGAATGTCGGTCAGAGTATTTACACTTTTTTCATCGACAATCACACCCGCACATCCGCGACGGATTTCGATAAATTTGCGTCTTAGAAAATAAGACAATTAATATTGATTTCGTATCTTCGCTAAAACTTTAGTAATTTCAGTTGTCTTTTCCGTTGTTGCTGAGGTTGATCTTCCTGATCGGTCACGATCTTTCATCGAATCTGTTTAGAGAAACTTGTTATAAAATACACTTAATAGTAAGCATTATAAAAACAACAGCTATATCTTCTTGTGCAAATTTTAATGTATTAATATTTGAGATTTCAAATTCGCCATCAAAAGGACAATATTGATTTCCAATTATAGAGTATGACGGATATTT